TTCACCCCTCGGAGAAAGGCTAATTCCCTGCCGCTGTTTGGGACTCGGCAGCAATAACCACGGCTCCTTTTGCGTGACACTCGCCATGACAAAACCCCCTTGTTTGTGCACAGTGCATGATCCGTGTCAGGCTTCCCGCAGATTACAGTTAGTTAACTCCCTTGGAGCCAGAGGGAGCGTCATGACCTCCAGGACTCAAACAAAACAAATCCAAAAACCCAACCAAATAGAGATACGGCACACAAGGGCACCGTTAAATACCCCATAATGGCACTGCAGTCATTAAAGCACAGTTTTCCTGTGAAAAAAAAAAAAAATCACACACATGGAAAAGCCAGTCCAAATTATCCAGGAATGTGAATCCAACAACTCAACGGGGAATAGAAGTGTAGTCTAGTCTATTCACGTTAGATTGAGTCAACCATCCACAGCAGGTTTTAAACATATTTTCAATATCACATCTCTTAATGTGCACTGCTGGCTGTCCCAAGTATCCTCGAGTTAAAGTTCACTCGATACTTCTTCCTCACCGTACCCCTGGATACGGAGCTGCCGAGGGGGCTGCGGGATGGATAGTGTTTTGGGGCACAGGACCAAAGCCTACGAGGGCAACTGGGAGGGAAAGCTGATGTCCCAACTTGGGAGTTTTCCTTTTCAAGGTTGTGAGTGGCCATTTTATTTTTTAATTTATGTGCTCAAATATCAAAAAACCCACATTCGTGATAAGCTCTAATCCAACCAAATATACTTCTCTGATGAAAGACATTTATGCATAATTTTTAGGATTGTCTCACCAATAAATTTCTTTCCTCCTTTTGTGCCCTAACTCAATTATCTGTCACCCAGACAGGCAGAGCAGCTGAGCTGCCCTGACACTGCATTCCAGGTTTGCAACAGCAAGTTTTCAGCACATTTTAATATCACAACGATGAGGGCAGCGGAGTTCCCCTCCTCTCTGCCAACGGGATAGAAATCAGGCTAGCCTTACTCCAGCACCCAGCTTCGAAAGTCAGAGATGTTGGGGATTATTTTGCTCCAGAGATCGGGCAGTACCTACGCTTTTGACCAAGATAAAAAAACCCAACCATTTAGTATAACGATTGTGCAGGGCAAGAGCTCTGTGTATTCTAGATAAGGACTAAAGTATGAGACAGCAGAGTATTTGAAACAGGGAGACACGCTGGCTTCCCACTAGCATTGCACTCGTGGGCTGCGTTACAGGACGGACAGGTATGCGGCCGGTGAACCAAGAAGAAAAATAGTGCTGAAGACAATTACAAAAAACCAAAACTCATGTTCACTGCTCCTTTGAGAATGAGCAGCTCCAAAAAGAGGAAACCAATACAGAGGAAACCTGTCCTTCGCACCTAGGGAAGGCAAGGAGGTGGTGATGAGGGCTCAGGGCAGCAGGGGAGCCGACGGGATGGGCACTCCGCAGCCGTGGGGCAGCGGTTGGGAGGGCATTTTAGGAGGAGAACTGCTGAGTCACGGGGGACAGCCCCAACAGTCAAACGCCTCCTCCCGTGCCGGTTCCCAGCCTTCCGAATTGCTCTTATCTGCTCCTTGCACGACAGCACTGAAATCCCAGGATTTTTCTACAGTTGCACATACCGTATTCTATTAACACACACTAGTGCCCCTGAAGTACTTCATGCAATAACAAAAAACCCCCACATGGTCCAATTTCTCTCATGCACCGCACTACAAAGGCTAAGTGACAACCTGAAACACGAGTCATCTCCCAGCTAGGAGCGTGTCTCTTACAAGCTGAACAGCCTCAACTGCCACTGAATTGTTCACATAACTACCTCTCGACTCCAAGCTCAGCATAGATGACAATCACTTCACTTTTCCTCCTATGTGCACACATTTTTTCCCCCTCCAAAGCCAAGACCCAAACAATGCCTATGCTTTTCCCTCCAATAAAGTGTGACAATTAATGCCTATTAATGGAAATCTGCATCCTATCTCAGTGGTGTTTTAAATCCAGTTTCCAGGCATGCCATCTCATGGTGTCACTGCCTACAAGATTTTTTGTCCAAACAGAAGTTGAGTAAGTTTGTGTCCCTAAGAAAAAAAACCCCAAAACGGCATCATATTTTTGATCCCTCTCCCGAAGTTCAGCCCTACACTGCAAAGCACCGGAGAATAACGCAACACACCCTAGGATTGACTCCAACACCATTGTTTTGTATGTGGTACAAGTGTTTTTCAACAAGGGAAAGTATATTTATCAGAAACCAACAAACTTGACAAGTGATTAGCAAAACTTCCACTCTCCTTTCCCCTCAAAGCAACAAGCTTCAAGGGAAGTTTTGCTGCAGACCAACGTCCTACAGAGAGTCGGGGGGGTTTCATTCCACCGGAGCCCTGCATGGAGTGAAGTTCTCTCCACCGCAGGCTGCACAGTCCTGAGCAGAAATTGCCAGTGAGCTTTGCATTGCATTATTGCATATTTCTTTAATAATATCAAACACCGAGAAGAAACAAGTTTTCCTCCATATAAGGCACCTCCTTTGTAAGTGAGACGATGCTTGTCCACTGAGAGCAGCTGTGAAACTCAAAATGTAGAAAAAACCCCACCCCAACCTATCAATCTCGTTTATACTACAAACAAAACTCGTCACTGTTCAGTGTTTTCCCCATGGTGAAGATAAACAATGTGTGATCATCTTTAAAGCGATAAATACTACAAGGAAAGTAACAGCTACCTAAAAGGAGTCCCTGGGGGATGGCTGTGGAATTGATCCTATATTACACGGTTGCTTAAGCAACACTCTTTACATCCGAGGGCTGCAATAAGCTCTAGGCAGGTTTAGTTCAATAGAGTTTGACTTCGCCACGCTGACAGTTCCCATTTCAGAAAAATTGAGGAAACGCACGCTGTGCCCGGCATACTCAAGATGGCAGAGCCAGAAATTAAGCAGGAGTGTACACAACCAGCCCCGATTGCTCAGGGCGGGGGAGCGCGCGAGCAATAACCCCACAGATTCAGACATCTAAAATGGAATATTAGGCTAAACATGATCAATCCAAACTTTTTCTGCTGCCTGGTGGTTCTTATCATGAAGGATGGGCATTGCTGTAAATCCTCCAGGCACACATTGTTTCCAAGACATTGCTTCCTCCCGCCTTATGGTTACTGACTCCCTGAGCCAGAGATCCTGCAACACATTTAATA